GGTATGACTGTATCAAAATGTTCTTTCAATGGTATATAACTTTGAAAGATATACAGAAGATGAATAATGAAATGAATGGACATTGCTGGAAATGTCATAGACCTCAATGAACCTTCTTCCATTTATGGTGGACCTGTGAAAAGACCAAAAAGTTTTGGAGGAAAGTTCGTTTTGAAATGAAAAAATGTAAAAAAAAAAAAAAATGCATTGGACCCCAAAACTATGCTGTTGGGAATGACTCCTTCAGCTACTGTATTATGAAATCGTCAGTGGAACTATTTAGTTATATGACCACAGCAGTCAGAGTGGTGTTGGCTAACATATGGAAATCTGACATATGTCCTGGAATAGATGCATGGAAAGAGAAACTATCAGAATATGCAGTAATGGCAAAACTCGTGATAGACTCATGGCAGAACGTAAAAAAACTTGGAATCTTTATAATTTGTATACAACTTAACAGAACTGTAACAAAATGAACATCTGTATGGATTTGTATAACAGACCTTAGGTTACAAAAATATTTCCTGTTTAAAAATAGAAGCTTTGTGTGTATATGATAAAGAAATAAATATATAGTAGAAGAAATCTTATCTGTCTGATCTAGAAATGAAATCATATTTTTAAATAATTTTTGCTTTAGATTTTTATAATCATATATAGCAAACTACCTAGAATTGGAAAGAATATTTAGTACACTAACCTTTGTTTAACTCTTGATAAATGTCAGCTTGCTGAGTTATTTTGTACCATTGTGATTCAGTGTTATATTTGCCAGCAGGCAGACCCAGCAATACAGAGTTTTGCTGCTTAGCAAGAGATTTGGGGAAGTTGCTCCTGTTCTTCACTGTGATCAGATTACACACTGAGTTCTTGTCTCCCGTTTACTGTGCAAGCAAGTCAGCCAGGCCATAGCATGAGTACCTGCCAGCCATCTCATCCTAGGTCACCTCCTACGCAGCATCTGGCAGGTGAAGTCACTAACATCCATGAAAAAATATACCTAAGGCGAATTCTGGGACTCCAGAATCCACAGATACCTGCACAGTCTCTAGCTCAGGTGTGGGGAACCTCTGGCCCTCCAGATGTTGCTGAACTCCCGCTTGCTGGAGTTAACAGGAGTTGCAGTCTAGCAAGAGCTGGGGGGAGGCCAAAGGTTCCCCACACCTCACCAGAGGAAAAGGATTCTGCATATGCTCAGGAGCACATTTGCCCTGTGGTCTTTGAAATGCTACATCCCCCTTGGAGATCAAGGATTTCTGAGCATGCTCCAGGACACTCAGCCAAGGTGCCAGAATTTTGGTCAGCCCAAATGTAGCTGCTGCACTCTTGAGACAAAACGTCTGCTGAAATTGCTGATAAATTTGCACTGGCTACCTCGCACTTCGAGACTATCTGAGGTGGGGACTGGAACAGGCCTGCTGCCTCTTTGGGGACTTGTTAATTGATTTTAGCACTCCTTTGGAAAGAAGCAGGTACGTGCTCTTTGCAGTCGACTGGGCATATTTCCAAATGTGAATTCTGCAGAAAAACAACAGACTGTGAAGCATTCATGTGCCCATGGCTCTGGAATTCATGTGTTCCCATGCCAGAGAGGTTTTATGAGCGAATTTGATGGTTCCTTTCCCCACTTAGGCCGGACTGGTCCACAACGCGCCTGCCTTTAATGTTATGGCCCACCATTAATCTTGCATGCACCACGAAATGTGCCACCCACATGGAAAGAGCAGGCTGCATTTACCCTTTTCTCTCCCGATTTGAGAATTTTCTCTTCCACCTGAAAATTATGTGGCAGAAGTTACAAATGCTTGCAAATCCATGCCCTTCTTAATTCACAGAGTGCAGAAGGGTAGAGATATTATTAAGCCCCCTGCAGCAAACGTAGAAAAAGAGAGCCACCAAGCACCTTAGAAACAAATGGATTTATCGTGGCAGAGCCAGTCGTAGGGCTAGAGTTTGGGATCAGAGCATTCTGCAGACGGAACAGCAGGTGCCTCCGAGTTCTGACAGAGGAGCATCACCACTCAGGAAGGGCCAGGTGGGGCCAGGTCCTGGTGGGGGGGTTGCCACGGTGACAAGGACCCGCCCTCCTTTGTGACATCTCTTGCTTCTCATTTAAAAGCCACTGACTTGCAGGCATCCATTGTGGGTTAGTGAGGAGAGCTTAGAGGAGAGAGGTGGTGGTGGCAGTTGGTGTGGCAGTTGGTGGAGAGTAAGAGCAGGAGTAGTGATTTGCTCTTTTTTCGTTTTCTTATTTTGATTTCATTTATTAGTTTTATTTGATTTATTTGATTTGATTTATTTTGATTTTCTTTTATTCTTTTATTTTAACACTTTTATTTATTTTATTTTTTGTTCTTTGTTTTAATATTTTTGTTTTTTGTGCACACCTGTGCGTATTCTGTATATATTTTAATTTTTTAGATAGAGGAATAGTTAGGGTTAAGTGTAGGGTTAGGGTGGGGGTTAGGTATAGACTTAGGGCAGGGGTTGGGGTAAGATTTAGGCTTGGGTGGGCATTTTAGATAGTTACTTTAGATAGGAGGGTGGGATCTTTTCGTTGTCAACATGGGCAGACTGTAAGTAGCATCCCTTTCTCTTCATCTCCGGGGAGTGTGTGTGTCACAAACTGGGAGGTTTTTCTGGCAGACACCTGAGTCTCAGGTATGTCCCTGTCCCTCCCTTGACCTCCACCTTACACCCATTAAGTAAAACAAAGAAAAATATATACATGGTCCTGTTTCCCAGCCAAGTTGAGTACCCCTTATTGTCCTGGCCAAGTCCCCAATCCATGTAGGTTGGATCCACTCTTGTCCTTGAGGTGGCTACCTGTCTGGCACTCAGAGACCAGGAGAGCAGTGATGATCACCCTGGCAGAAGGGTTGCTGTGTACGTGGTCTCATGCTTCAGGGATGATGGCTGCCCCTAGCCATGCCCCAAGTGCCTTCTCTGGTAGCCATCTTTCTTCTGAGCAGAACAGCCTTGGAACGGTGTCAATCTGATGTTGGATTGCTTTTATATGAATATTTGAAGGTTTCCCCGCTGCAAGAGTAGGCGAGTGCTACGACCAGATAGCTGCTGCTGCTGCTGCTGCTTCTTCTTCTTCTTCTTCTTCTTCTTCTTCTTCTTCTTCTTCTTCTTCTTCTTCTTCTTCTTCTTCTTCTATCACTCATAGCCGAGTAAGATTAACTTCCATGAGCAGTGAGTTTTAACTGTGAGTCCATAAGTGATTGTGGAGGCCAATTCTGGATCCACACGTCCTTCCACAGTAGGGACAGAGTTTTCTGGGCGGGAGTTGATCACAGTGAGGGTATGCCAAGCGTGCCTTCCTCTTAGCTTGTTTCTCCCTTGCATCCTGAGTTCAAGTGTCTTCAAAACCCATGACACCTTTGGTAAAGGCTGTTCTCCTATTGGAGCGCTCGCAGGCCAGTGTTTCCCAGCCATTGGACATGACCAGTCCAACGAAGTTGGTGTTGAAGAATCATTGGTTCAACACTGGTGATCTTTGCTTCTTCCAGGACACTGGTATTAGTTCGCCTGCCTTCCCAAGTGGTGTGTCACATTTTTCGGAGACACCATTAATGGAATCTTTCAAGGAGTTGGAGATGGCATTTATAAGTGATCTATGTTTCACAAGCATACAGCTGGGTTGGTAGTGCAAGAGCCTAGACTGAAACTTAAAAGACTAGTTTCAATGGACTAATAATGGTTTTCATGGCTGGTTCTGACTTTTCCCTTTTCCCAGTTGGAATTCCTACTTGTAGAGCAGAGGCCACGGCTGGTTGGCAGCTGCAGTGCCTGTGTGCTTTGTTCTGTTGTTGTTGTTGCTGTTGTTGTTGTTTAGTCGTTTAGTCATGTCCAACTCTTTGTGACCCCATGGACCAGAGCACACCAGGCACTCCTGTCTTCCACTGCATCCCGCAGTTTGGTCCAACTCATGTTGGTAGCAAGGGGAACACTGTCCAACCATCTTGTCCTCTGTCATCCCCTTCTCCTTGTGCCCTCAGTGCTTTGTTCTAGAGGGTGCTGTTTTGTGGCGCTCACTGGTTGCTATTGGACAGCTCTTTGGATAGTCTGAGCGGATTGGTTGAGTGCCTTGCGAGCGAAAGGCTCAGCCTTCATTAGGGCAAATGTTCTACCTTTATTTATGGGAGCCTTTGAAATAGAAAAAGGAAAGGACTGTGTCAGGATGTGTTTTGTGCAGACATTTGCAGAAATGAAGGTGTTGATTTGGGGTACAGTCGGAGGGGGGTATGGTGCCTGCTGGAGGGGAAAACCCCCCGCCACCCTTTCCAAAAAATCTGGTAACAATGTTAAGAATGACACAAATTTCATTTGCTTCATGAAATTTATATACTGCTTGACTGCATGAATGAGTGGGCCAGGCTCTCTGGGTCCTGGCATGGCCGTAGCTCTTGAACCCAGAGCACTTGGGACCTCCTTTCTCTCTCTGCCAGCCCTTCATGCTCTGGGCTGCCTCTTTCAGGCTCTGATGATGCCCCTTCAGGTCACTGAACTGCAGAGAGATGGAAGGAATTGGTCATGATGGGCCGGCAAGGATCGATTAGGCTCCACATATGTATTTCTGTTCTGCCAATTCGGCAGTGGTTCACTGTTTTCTCCAGACACCCCTCCTCACACCCAAGAATTGGGGCTGCCGGTGTCTGAGTCGCTCTTTCTGCTCATCTCTTCTAGGATCAGGTGCTTAAGGCGCCTGTTCAGGCACTGCCACAGGGTGGCCCCCCCAGCCAGACACAGAGCAGCCCGTGGCGCCAGGTAAGCCAGTGGCCCTCCTTTTTTGGACAGAGGAGGGCAGGGATGGACATGGGGGGCGACTAGTCCAAGGATGCAAAAGAGGACTCACCTCTTCCCATGTCCTTCTGTTTGCAGTTCTGCTGCGGTTCAGCATCCCAGGCCCAGAGGTGAGTATTAGAGAAAACAAGAGCAGGGACTGGATCCCTCGGACCTGCCCCCCGCTGCCCGGGCTCTTTGCCCCCCACTCTGCACTCTCAGATGCGGAGAAGCCCTCCCCTCATGAGGAATTGACAGCCTGACTTTTCCATTTCAGCTGCTGGAGGATGAACATGTCTACCTCCTGGGGGTCATCCAGAGCTGCCAGGCAGCTGAGCTCAGGGGGCTCCGATCCCTGAAGTGCTCCAAGCAGGAGACAGCCCAAGCCATTCTGGTGAGTGATGGGGGGTCTGGGGTTGTGCATCTGCAGAGAGGAGGACCCTGCCATCTTAGGGCATGGGGTTGCCATTCCCCTGCAAAGCCAAGCCTGGTGTTTGGGGTGGGAGCTGATTTTCCTCCTCTGTTCTCTTCCAGGACATCCTGGGGCCCCTGGAGCACTTCAGGGATCGCCCCCTGACCCTGGCCCTTGCCTTGGAGGCCCTCCTCCAGCTAAGGTGAGTGGGGTCTTTGGCATGGATGGGGTTGTGGGTGGGGAGGGGGCAGAACTCCAGGGGGCAAGAGCAGGCGGGAGGGAGACGGGGGCAAGGGAGATTCTAACCCTCTCCCTTTCATCTCTGCAGCACGATGAGGCCCAAATTCAGCTGTGATATGATCAGTGCCATCCTGCACAGAACGTTGGAGGCCGTGCTGAAAGGGGCCACTGAGGAAGAGGAGAAGAGAGAAGTTTGTACTTTGTTTTGACTTCCCTTCAAGCCTCTTTCTTCTTCTTCGTCACACACTTGCAGAATCCAAGCCAGCATTCAAACTCTCTTCTCTCTTTTCCCGCAGGAACTGAAGAGGCACTTCCAGCTCCTGTTGGGCATTCTCCTTATGGAATCCCCCAACCCTGGCACCCTCCTGCACCATCTCAGTGTAAGTGCCCCGATGGCATCAGGGGTGGTTTTAGGGTTGTTGTTCCCCCCGTCCCTTACTCAATGGACTGCCCTATTTCTGGGGCACAGAGCCTGTTTGGCCCCCAATTTGGTCCAAGACCAAAGCTGGCAAACCCTCATGGTCCAGAATTGCCAGGGACTCCGTGGTGGGGGCAGTGGGGGCCGCCTTGGCCCAGACTGGCCCCTGACTCTGAGACGCTCTTTCCTCCTGTAGGACCTCCGAGGATACGCCCTGGGGGAGGCTCAAGAAAGTGGGGAGGCTCAAGAACTAGCGGCCAGCAGCATCTCCTTGCTGCTGGCCGTTGCCCAGAAATACCCCAACCTCAGAGTAAGTACCTTGCCTTCTGCTATTCATTTCTTTGGTTACAGTGGTGCCTCGCAAGACGAAATTAATCCGTTCCACGAGTCTCTTCGTCTAGCGGTTTTTCGTCTTGCGAAGCAACCCTATTAGCGGTTTAGCGGATTAGCGCTATTAGTGGTTTAGCGGCTTAGTGGCTATTAAAGGCTTAGCGGCTTAGCGGCTAAAAGGCTATTAGCGGCTTAGCAGCATAGAAAAAAGGGGGGGGGGGGAGCGAAAAAAAATCGCAGGACTCGCAAGACGTTTTCGTCTTGCGAAGCAAGCCCATAGGGAAAATCGTCTTGCGAAGCAACTCAAAAACGGAAAACCCTTTCGTCTAGCGGGTTTTTCGTCTTGCGAGGCATTCGTCTTGCGGGGCACCACTGTACTTCCATCGCCCCAAGATCACATCCCCAAGTGATCTTTACCGCAGATGATGCGGGGGGTGTCCCTGGGGGCCAGGATGAGGCCATATGCTTTTCCTGCCCCCTTTCCTGCTGCTGCCCTTCCACCTCTGCCCAGGGAGGTCCTCTGGAACAAGGGATTGGGCCCAAGACAGAGGGAGACCTGTCCTTCCTGACTTGGCGCTGCTTCTCCCATCTGACCCCGATTTTTCTTTCCTCTGCAGATGATCGTAGTTTGGCCGGACCTGGCTTGCTTCTGCCTGAAGCCGAAAGAAGGTAAGCCCCACACCTTGGAGACAGCGCCCTTTGACTAAAGGCCTGTGGGAAAATCTCATTTTCATTTCTTCTCATTCTCATTCTCTTCCATCCAGATGACATCATCATTGAAGATATATAGGTAGTGCGGACCTCGGGCTCCACTGGGCATCAGAAAGAGACCAACATCCAAATGCACTTGGCAGGTAAGACTTCCTCAAAAGTCCATCTGTAGTGAGAGAAGCAGGCACTCCTGGCGTCCTGCTTACCTTTTTTCACTTGCAGGTGACAGAACGATGCTGGCAAGACCTCCTTCTCCATCTTTTCATGGTGGCAGAAGGGAAGCAGTGGCTGTGGGACCAGATCAGGTAGGGGGAAGCTGCCTTGTGGGAACAGAGGCCAAGGGGTGAAACGGTGTCATGGACTGGTTGGGCACAGAGGAATGGTGGGAGGAAGCAGCTGGAGAACCAGGAAGGGAAGAGTCTCAGAGCCCAGGGAGTAGAGGGGGGGACAAGGAGGAGCAGTCAGAGGGAGAAGAGGCTGGGGAACCAGGGGAGGGGAGCCAATGGGTCTCAAACCCTCGGTGAGTGAGGGACTTTCCCCTGTGTCAGAAGACAGGCTCCGGCAGATGGAGCTCTACACAGCTGCAGAGTGGAGTCCCTAAGATGGTTGGGTGGCATTTTGTAGTCCTCCTTCTGGCAACTCCTGCAGCCAAGCTGGTGCCAAATTTATTGCTCTGCTTTCCTTTGGACCACATCAGGGAGGCCGGGGGGGGGGGAGGCGAATCTGGGCACAGGGTTGACACCTTTGTTTTGCAAAAGACAGGGCAGGGCAGGGGACAGAGAGAGATCCGAAAGTTGTTAACTATTTTGCCTCAAAAGATCTCATGGAATCTTGGGTTTTTCGATTCCTTAGTATATATGATCTACTCCCTGTATAACTCCACGTGTCAAGAAGAAAAAGAGCTGGAAGAGAATGGAATAAAAATGAATATTTTTAAATGGATTTTGAATTAATGCACAATAAATTGTTACTGTTTTGAATTTCATTGTGTTGTTGTCCTCCATTGATCTGGACACTTTTGTTGTTGCAGCCTAGAATAGCATTAGCATCTTTTGCTGCTGCATCACTCTCGGGTTGACTCATGTTAAGCTTGTGGTCCACTAAGATCCCTAGATCCTTTTCCCTACCAGCAAACCAGGTGTCCCTCATCTTATATTGGTGCAGTTGGTTCTTCCTGCCAAAGTGCAGAACCTTAGATTGGCTAGAGGTCCTCTTTGCTCACCTTCAGGATGTGACCGCGTCGCAGTCAGTGCTGTGGTAGCTCCGTGTGGCATTAACACAGTTCAGTGCAATTGCCTGGTGACAATCCAGTCCAGCTGGTGCCAGTGACCTGAGATCTAAGATGTCTCCAGGACACTGAGTGTTTTGCCTTGGTAGAGCATACCATGTTCGTGACACAGAGGCTGTGGTATGAGCACAGTTTGGGTAAGCTTTGTCTGTTCTTGTTCAGGCTCCCGATACCAAGGGGGCCTCTGCGGTTATCCCAGCTGTGATGAACTCTTCCAGCAGGAATAGTAATAGTAATAGTAATAATAATTTTATTATTATACCCCGCCCATCTGGTTGGGTTTCCCCAGCCACTCTGGGCAGCTCCCAGCAGAACACTAAAAACAGAATAAAACTTCAAACAGGGCTGCCTTCAGATGTCTTCTAAAAGTGAGAGAGTTGTTTATTTCTTTGACATCTGCTGGGAGGGCATTCCACAGGGCAGGCCAACTACCGCGAAGGTGTTTGCAGGCTCCTGACATCCTGGTCGAGTTCCACATTTGTAAGCAGTTGATCTTTTAGTGTGGTAACCTTCACATTTTGGAACTCCCTGTACTTTCCCTGTACAGTACTCTTCTTGGTGCCAAGCCTACTCAGGCATGTAGAATTTCATTCTGGTTTTTAGCTTGATGTTGATTTGGGAATTTGGGAACAGTTGGGAATTTTTTTATGTCTTTTTTTTTTGGCTGATAATCTCATTGTTTGTTCTTTGAGGTTTTATTACAGTCAGGAAGTACAATATAGTAATCTTATGAATTACATAAACGAGCTCTCATTGGGCCCTGTCAGCCTAACAACAGCCTGATCCCCTCACCCTCGTTGCAGATTCTGGAACACTGATTACACGACCCTTTTGCAGAGAAAATAAGTGATCGGTGGGATGATCCCCGCCCCACTCACCCACACTCAGCTGTTGCTGCGCACTGCAGCTAAATTTTGCGAAACAAAATAAAACCCAACCCTAAACTTTACACGCATTTATTTGTCTTCAAAGAAGAGCGGGTGGCGCTTGAAAATAAAGACCGGAGCAACAGGGGTGCAGAGCCTAGGCAGTATAAGATCCAGCAGCAGCAGCCGCCTCCTCTTGGAAGGACACCGGGCACGCTTGCGTGCAGACATTGACCTCTGCTCGAATACAGCCGAGGAGGCAAAGAGAGAGAGAGCGCTTAATCACACCGCCCAAGGAGGTTTAGGGTGTATTCCCGCGCCCTGGCAGTCGAAGTGTTACACGGCAGAAGAGTCCTGAGTCCATTCCGAAACAGAGACTGGGCAGAACGCATGCGCGCCCAGGGGACCCAGCTGCGACTCCTGGTACTGTGTGCAACTTTTCTCCTGTCTCTTCTCTTTTAGTCGCATGCCGGTTGTGATGTCTAGAGGGGCAGAGCGCTGGAGCGATCCTTCTCTCTCGTTCCTCTCACTGCCTCGTGGTGAGGAGGAGGAGGAAAAAGAAGATGCAGACTTTTGTCTCCCCAGTGGCCAAGGCGATCTTCGTGGCTGTCTTCCTCTTTGCGATCTTACTCATTCTCTGTGTGATCCTCTGGTACATTTGCAGGGACCCAGACCACGGCGTCGTCTGAATCGATGAGGGACAGAGGAGCGCCTCGCTTTCCTGCAAGGTAATGACGGGCTGCGCGTCTCCTCCACAAGGGTAGAAGGGCAATTGGCAAGGTGACAAGCAGTGGCATAGGAGCCAACTCCTAGGGGCCGAGGGGTCTTCAGCCCCCCTCCGTAAAATATTTGACACCCCCCCCCGTTGATGCTGTGCGTGCACCGTGTCATGTGATCGATTATGTTGGACGGGGCTTAACCCCCCCCCCCTGAGCAGGGGGCAACAAGCTTAAATCTTGGACTCCCACAAAAAGTTTTGCATGGATCTATTAGCATAGGAGCCAACTCCTAGGGGCTGAGGTCCCTTCTGCCCCCCCAATTAAATTTTTGAACCCCCCACCCCCAAGTTGATGGGTATTGCCATTCAAATGGTGTGTGTGTGCTGTGGCTTGTGGTCGATTATGCAGAGTGGGTCCATCTAGTTCAGCATTGTGTTCACTGACAGGCAGTTTCTCTCCAGGGTTTCAGAAATGAAGTCTACTGGGGACTGAACTTGGGACCTTCTCTGCATGCATACATATTACTGCCCTCCCTAATATGTTTGCCATTTTTAATTGAGCCACCTTCTTTACTAAAGTAACTTTCAGTCCAAACCTCGCTGAAGCTTAAGGGATAGCATAGCAACATGTGCAGCCTTCTTAGAAAGCCTGCTTTATCACATCAGATGCATTGCCTATGGGAAATGAATGCCACAATGAATTCCTTAGGCTTTAAAGTGCCACTGATTTTCTTTTCTTTTCTTTGCTTCCGGAAGACAAACAACATAATCATTCTTTTTATTCATCTGTGATATCTCTCAGGGAGTGTCTGCATGGGGTTAGGAGTGGTGGTGGCCTCAGAGGACTTGATCCCTCCAGCTCACCTTTGCAAAAAAGCTCACAGACCCTCTTTCAGACTGCATTGCTTCTGTGTCAAGTGGAACATGCAAACAAAAAGTTGCAGTGTAGCGTTCTGCTGTTCCAGTAAGGCAGCACCATGTCTTTCTTCAGAATATTCCAGACCACGTCTGCTCCCCACCCCAACATAATTATGTGGATCACTGGTCTGATTCAACCACATACTAGCAAATTCAAATTGCACAATTGTAGTTGATTGGGATGTCTTATAACAAACCCACTTCCTCGAAAGATTGGATTCCCCCCCTTTTCTTTTTGTGATGGGAAAATGCACTGGAAAGTGTGGGGTAACACTTGCTTAGATGCAAAGTTATCTAAGCTCTCAAGCAAATCATAATCATTAAGTAGCCAATGCTACCTAATCTCGCTGCAAACAAAGCAAGATGAATGCCCAATAAACTGGTTGTCTGGAAGGAACATCAGTCCTCATTGGACTGTTTTTTTTGGATGTTCCTTTCTCAGGTTTCATTTTTCCTAAGTCTTTGGACTTCCTTTCCCTTTTCCCAGTGCGGTTGATTCATCTTCTTTGTGCATGGATGGTACTGTTTAGGCTGTGCACTTGCACTGGCCCCTGAACATTTGAATTAGATGGAGTGATGATTATGTGGCCACACAATCCATCCATTCAGGGACAGGAGCAAAACAGTTGCTCAGAACCATGTTCCACATCTTCCCATGCTACTGCTTTTGCCCAAAGCCTTACCAAATCCTCTACGTCTTTGTTTCCAAACTCTCTATTTTCCAGGATGCCTCTCCAAATTAACATGTCTGCTATGAATTCCAGAGGCTTCCAGATCACTGAAAAGCTGGGTGTTGTCATTTTATTATTTATAGAAAAAGCAAATAAAGTAATGTTCAAACAAACTAACTAACAGAAATAAGATAAAAGGGAAAGTTAAAGGAAGGAAGGAGGACAATGGGAGATTTTGAAACACAAGCACACTGGATTGTTTACTATGAGGCATAAATCTCAAGAAAAACTGTTTGTTTGGGCCTGCTACCCATGCTCATGTAGCTCGCCAACCCTACCAAACCACTTAACCAACCAGCCCTCTTTTTACATCTCACTCAACCGCCCCATTCCTTACAGCTCCCCTGTGTCCCTCCATCACTGCTTTATTCAAACCTCTGCTGTTGTTTAAAACTGCAATTCTAAACAAAACCCCTTTCTTTTCTTTCGGTCCCCTCTCCTTGCCCTGACTTCTTGCAAATCTAGGATTGTGCTGCAGCGCTACAGATTTTCTAATGGGCGCTACCGCTTTGCGATGACAGCCTGACATTTGTGTGTATATAGGAATATTTATATACTGCTTATAAGCTGAAATGTGTTCTGAGTGGTTTATCTTCTTTCAGTTCTCATTCATATATTGCCAGTTCAGATATGGGAGATTAAAAACCCATTATTATATGGAAGGTGAAGACTTCTTCCAAGTAGAATGGGTTTAATAACATTCAAGTCTTAATTTGAGCTGAGTTTTACCAGAGCTGGAAATCCTTCCTCTCAGTCTCTCAAGCCTGGTTGTAGTGCCATAATTCTGCTCCTGGATATGACAGTAACAATGGGAAAAAGACTTCTTCTTTTTTAGTGTTTCAGGTCTTTCTTCAGCAAATCTTGGGCATTCTCCCAACCAAGCTGATCCTTTCCTCTTTTTTCTAAGTGGTGCTATTTTGGCTACAATCCTTTTGGCACTCATTACCTTAGTTCACTATTAGAGGGAGTGATAAAGCTTAGTATCCATTCACAGAAGCAGTCACTGGCAATAACAAAATATCTTCCTTTACTGTGCCAACTTTAACTCTTGTAGAAGAAGAGAAAAGTGCACCATGGTCTTAGTTGAATGATTAAGGTTGTAGACCAATAAACCATGGTATTGCTTTAGGGCCCAGTCAAGACCCATCTCCACTAGAAGTGCTAACCAAGGGTTCATCCAGACTTCTTTTGGGCTGCATTTCTAGGCACAGGTCTGGACTTTGAAGCTCTGTGTCTGAGCACTTTTTATTCGCCCCAGCTCTTTCTCCAGGAAAACCCACATTTCATCGCTGAATTGGAGTGAACAGCAACTGGGTTTTCCATGCATAGCCATTTGCTCTGATTGAGTGGTAAAACACTGTTTTTCCTGGGAAAAGCACCAGGACATTAAAACAACAACAACATGCCATACCCTCCAGCATTTCTC